AAAAAAAAAAGTATTAAAAATATTATTGCAAAGAATCTTAATAAATTAATGGATAGCTCATATATCGATAAGTCGAGCCATGCTTTTAAATGGACGAATACAACTTATGCGACTACGTACCACAAAACAAATGAAATATATTATCGCGTTACTGAAAATTGAAAATTGACACTACGCTTGCGCGAACTTCAGAAAACACATGGACAAGTATTTCTCTACAAGACATTCGTTCAAGTTCTCACATTATATTGCATTATATTGATCGCTTAATTGCCAATCTTTTCTTGGAAAAATTGTTAAATTATGCGTATTCCGATCTCATGGCACTTTTCGCCAATTTCATCATTACACTTATGCTCAATCAAATAATTTGCGAAGCGTTTTATGAAAATGGTAAGTTATAAAATATTCAATAAATAAAAATGTGTAGAATTTTGTTACTCTTTTTACAGTCAAACGCATTTTCATCCTCGCAAAGTAATGATCTGTATTAAAACTAGATATTTCAATATTCATCGAATTCTTTTACTTGCTGTTGGCTTATGGCCTTATTGTAAATCGAATCTTGTTCAGTTTCAAATAATGCTGTGCTTTACTATTCTGATAAGTTTTATTATTTTTCAAGTATGTGTATTCTATATCATGTTTCACATTTTTATATGGGATTATTATAATTATTTAAACTTTTTTAGTAGAAAGGATTATTTAATTGATTAATTAGTGAATTAATTTAGTTTGACTAATGAACTAATTTGATTAATGACTATTATATCTATAAGAAGTTAAGAATAGTATGATATACATATGTTCTGTCTGATAAAAATGTCATTATATTACTTTACATTATAAAACAATTTATTCCAAATTATTTCAAATTTTATTATTTCGTTAAACATATAAGAATATCTTTTTAATGCAAATTTTCATTGGTAAGTTCGTTATTTGCAGCTCACAATATTCTTGACAGCAGAATGCACTTCCCTTCTAGTAATAAAAGTTCTTTGTACCACAACGTTTTCTATTATATATGTAATAAAATATAATTCATTTTGGATTAACGCTCGTAATGTAAGTTAAATATGTACCATGTCACACACACACACACACACACACACACACACACACACACACACACACACACACACACACACACACACACACACACACACACACACACACACAC